AACCACCTTGTATTAAAGAGATACCAGTATTATACAAGTTTAGAAAGACTTTGAGAACATTCCTTCTTGATCATTGTTTCTATAGTATAGATGAGTTTCTCTTGTTTGGGGACAAATCCTAGTTATAATCACTTGTAAACATATATTTCAAGAATAATTAACTTGTAGATTTTAATATTAGTACATGTTATAGGAATGCCTACTGCCCTGTTCTGTGTTTTTCTTACAGGAACGAGATCAAGGATACCAGGGTATTTTGTGCCGGGATAGAAGGATCGGGTCTTCAGGCATACAGCAGTGTCAGTGTTAAACGATTATATCAGTTCTATTATTAGAATCATCATTTTATTATTATCATCTTATTTTATTTTTATATTATTTATTACATTATTATTATTATTATTATTATTGTATTGTAAAGTATCTGACTTGTCCAATATCATGTATAATGATCCATGGATATGAAGTAAATAAATGAATGAATAAATATTTTGTACAGTACACATGCGTATGCAGCAGCAGCATTAGGAAACTGATATTGGAATGGGTTATGTACAAATAGAACTGAACTATTTTGTAGTAATAAGTGAATAAAATATGAACCGAGCCTTTATATACAATTTCTTGCCTAAGAGAAATTATTATTTTTCTGACGGTAGGGAATTTGCCTGTCATAACATTCTAAAACAGTTCTGCATAAAATATATCATCTAGGTGTGGCACTCTATCTGAGACGTTTATGTATTTTTTGGGTGACAGATGCACCTTCTTGGTACCTTCTTTTTCTTCCTGCATATATACATAACAGCCTACTTGCTTACACAACTTGATTTGGCTTTCATGTCCTCCATCCTGAATCCCATCTGCATCATTCTTATGCAGACACACTTTTATTCTTCAGAAATTCTACACATTAAAAACAAATCTGAGAACATTGCTACCACAACCACTGAAATGACAGCTACTGCTCATGTTTGACTTACTAATGCCATGTATTCATATAGTCTGAATTCATAACCATATACAAAATAAATGATGTATATATTCTAATGAGGAGCTGGGATAGCGCAGTCGGTATAGTGACTGGCTATGGGCTGGACGACTGAGGGGTCAGAGTTCGAGTCCCAGTAGGGCAATAATTTTCTCTTCTTGTTGTCCAGACCAGCTCTGGGGACCACTCAGCCTCCTATCCAATAGATATTTGGGGCTCTTTCCCTGGAGAGTAAAGCGGCAGGGGCCTGAAGCTGACCATTAACTTCCAAATAGTGCCGAGGCCAAGAAAATGTGGATCTATACATCCATTTCCTTATATGCATTCATTGCGTAGTGCTTAATTAGTTAAGCTCAGGGATAACAAAGTAATAATTTATATTCTTTCCTGGTCTTGAGTTCCTTGTTTACATTATCAAGACTGTTATGGCCACCTGGTGTGGTGCAATATAATACAAAGCCTGGATGACATAAATAAAGTCAAAAAGAAAAAAACAAGCCAACACCTGTGTTACCTGACATTGCGTGCAGGCACATATTAAAATGACACAATGTTCAGAAAGCTAGAAACAAGCAAGTGAACCTTCTTGAAACTATGCTTTATCAAATACAAAATTTAATCTTAGCCAAAATCTTCAATTCACTACCCGAAAAGTACACAGATGCCTTGGATAAATATAAGTAATGATTACAAGATTTTAAAAAAGCCCTGAAATGCTAACCACTTGGGCTAGGAACGTTTGGTTTGCTCCTTCACATTCAGTAAAACATGGCCCTTCACCTAAGTACACATTTTATCTGAGTTCCGAAAGATTGTCCAAGTGCACATGATATTTGATTTGAAACTCATTGCAGCGGCTTTGAACTAGGCAATACAGTGTGTCTCTTACTGGCTAGCATGATATCAGCAGCCATGCTTCAAATATCAAGGGATAGGAATCTTACTACAGTGAAACAGATTCTACAATCATGCAGAACATAACACAACACAACACAACACAGACTTCAGGACAGTGTTACCAAACAGGCTGGTCTAGCAGTACTGCTTTATACTAGTAATCAGAAGGTAATTCTGTATTGCAGCATCCTGTTGCACATTTTTATTAAATGTCTATGTATTTAGTATGTCAATAATGCAACAATCATTAAAATATTCACCATTCAACACCAATATGACATGTTTCAGCCACAGACAGCCATCCTCAGGTGTTTCGATGCATCTAAACAAACTGTCTGGAATACACGCATCACATAGCTTTAAACAAGTGAACAATGCCCCTTACGAGGTGTAAGGATTTTACGAAAGATTTTAAGTAGACTGCAAACGCGTAATTTTAGTGCACATCAGAACAGTGTAACAGTTTAGACGCATCAAAACCCCTGATTGTTGCATTATTGACAGACTAAATACATAGACGTTTAATTCAGTAGGTGATCAGTTCAAATCTAGATTGAGACACCAGCTATCCTGAGGTTCTGTGGTTTTCCTCAGTCCCTCCACACAAATGCCAGAATCATACTTCAATTAACCCATGAGCCTTTCTTTCTGAATCCTTTCTCATTCGTCATTCATCTGACACCCACCATTCGACCCTATATATTCCATGACACTGAAACTGAAACAATGTATCTGAGGATCCTCAATGAGTACTGCAGTGTGATGTGAGCTATCCTTGTCCCAAAAGGGGAAGGTATCAGCACTAAAAGGTGATAAAACTATGTACACTTATTCACATAATGATGCAAAGGAAAAAAAGACTGTCACAAATTCGATTACACCCTCCATGGTAATTAACAGACATGAAAGAATACCAGCATTTGTTTCAGAAGTGATGTCATATTACTGGGGAATAGAGATCTAAATGGAAGATAACTTCTGAACAATTTTATGAGCATATATGTAATGTGTTCCACCCATGGCTTCTTAATTTGGGATATCACCACCATTAATTTGATTTTCAGATGACCTCATGGGAACACTGCACATTAAAAAGAGATCTGAAAATCACGGACAAAAACTTAAAAAAAAAAAAAAAAAAAAAAGATTCTGCTTCATTGCCTGGCTGAATTAAAAAAACACTATTTAACATGACACAGTGCAAAATTGACTTAAGATGCTGTGAATTTTTTTTTTAATTTGGATCCAAACAAAATTGATTTCACTAAGTTCATCAGAAAAAGTAAAATAAGTACTGACACAATTCATTCCCTATGACAACACTGTACAGACTGAGTTAAGAACAGCATCATTAAATAAATCACAAAAAATTAAAACATTTTCTATAGGAAACCCTGAGGAGTATCTTCTGTTCACAAAAATTACAACTGCTATGCCTAAGGCAGAATTCAAAACTAAGTACAAGTAACTGTATAAACTGTGAGGATCTGATTGTGAAGAAGTACAAAAGCAAAGCAATATGTCTAGTCTTCTGACGGAACAACCGCTCAGCAGTATGAAGAACCATGATCCCAATCAGGAAACACCCTATTTAACAGTTGTAAAAGCAAGAAATTAAGTATAATGAGCAGCCACCAATAGTAGTCCAAATACACAAAATGTGGCTACAAACAGCATACTTTACACTGTAACATAACAAACTCAAAAGAGCTTTATTCTGGCCACATGAGACTCCAACATCCTCTAGGAGGAGAAGGAAAGAGAAATATCAAGGTTCCATCATAAATATGCATAGACTATACAATGCCAGGCAAACACATGGAAAACTAACACATATGAAATTGAAAATAACATTGGAAACACAACAATTTGGAAAGTTAAAGAAAGTGATTCAGAAGATTCTCATGAACCACAGGTGCATGAATACAGTGATGCCTGTATGAACAACTTACTGACAGAAGTGGATGAAAATCATGAAATTCAGGCATATGAAACAATAACTTCAGATCACATTTTACACCTATGACACTGAGTTCTTCGCCATGTGGAAGCAGGTTAGAATATTTCCACTGCAGCCCTGCAAGTCGTAGAAGGCTGTGAAAAGGGAACCTAGTGTCATAGGGTATAACTGGGCAACCGTGTCACTGGGGGACATAAATAAAGGGGCCTGGTCCTCCAGGTTGAAGGTTTGATGCAATGCCGACAAAGTTCCTCAGTAAAAAAATTCCTTTTACAAAATCCAAAAAAGTGAAAGCTAGATGCAATTTGACAGAATCTTCTAAGCAAGAATATGACTATAAAATGGCTGTTCTGCTGATAATGATGATGACGATGATGATGTTGAGGATGACAACAATGACGATGACCTCTAGTAGATTATAATCCCCCCTTAAAAAACAAGAAATCTTATATGGGTCTTGTGCTGTCCACGAACTGTGATAAGCATTTTCAAATAAAAAGAAGGACGATGGAAAATGATTACAATATCAGTAACTGTATTAGTATAACATAATAACAAACATTCAGATCTGATAAACGTTTTGCAAAATTTATATGAAAAGGGCGGCTCTACACTTGTCTGACCACAGAACGCAGATATGTCAGACGTGACACAAAGAACATAATTAAAATATTAGCACAGCCAAACTGCTGGAAAAATAAGAGGAAAACCCAATCCTCTTTCTTTCGTTGATCATACTAAGGAACTGAAATACATTTCTCTATAGTTTTCTTTGCAAATGTCAACCTTAGGGTCCTTCAGTTCCACTATTAAGAACAAGATGGCTAGATTAGATGAATCTGAGCTTCCATAATCAAAAATAATGTTACAATATTCATTTGAAACATTCTTGTTTTCTGTTAACATAAAGCGCAACGACTCTGACGTATTTCTTACACTAATAACAATGTCTACAGACGAAAATCTCTATATACATCATAACGCAAATAACTACATCAATACATGTGATGTCAGCAGATGATGCATTTACCCAATAAAAAATATGGAAAAAATCAACGTCTTGTATATTCTTCTTATATTTGCCAAGTGGTAAATTAGGATCTATGAGAATCTTAGGACCTAACAAGCAAGAAAGTAAATGAGGGAACTTACTCTTCACTAAATCCGTTTACGTGCAATATCCTCATCTGCTTTACAATTGTGCTTTTGCCCGATTCTCCGGCACCTTGTAAAAGACGAAAATATTAAATATTAGCAGCAATACAAACACAAATCAACAAAACTACTTGCTCAATATGGCTGACAGAACTGGACGTCCAGAGTTGTGATAAAACATTTACCTAGTAATAACAATCTGTGCGTTGCTCTATACAATTGTTTATCCTTCTGGATTTGTGCGTTTATCCTTTTGTTTGTCTCCTTACTCTTTTTACTTTCTTCATGGTCCGCTTTTGAGCCCCCACCTCCAAAACAACCCATGGCATCAGGCCAGTTATTAAAAAATATGGTGGGTAGGCAGCACCGATGGGACTCGCGCTGCCTCTCGTTTACGGCGAGATTCCCTATTTTGTAGGCGTTACTAATACACGCAAAGTACAACACACTTAATGACACATATCTTGAAACACTTTCCAACACTTGACATCCATTACAACTTCGTTAAACCACTGCTTTTCCGAAAATTATTTACGGGTAACACATCACTACGGTATAGGACTACACGCACTACCACAGATGAGACCTGCCAAGGAATTATGGGAGCTGAGCTGCAGCCGATTTCTCTCACGGTTCTCTTAAGAGGGAATACTGATCATCTGAGATCGTAATTAAAATATACAACATATATGACAACATCCAGTGTAACTTTTAACAAAAATAAATCACATTCATTGCTAAAATTGTCCTAGTTCTGTTTCCCCACCACATCCATCCATTTCGTGATATCGAACACCGTAAAGAACACTGCCCTGCGTGGCAGCCAGTTGAAACAAGTGACCTACTTGCACAGAAGGCACAGATTTCCTACGTACTGGTAACATACATAATTCCCTGGGACAGTAACGGTTTTGCTTACGGAAAACAGAAAACAGATGGCAGTAAGATCAAATTACAACACGGTAATGTAATTGCTTCTCGGTGTGTGAATTCATGTGAGGAAGTCTGTGAAAATAACAATGAGCTCGTCAATTCTAAAGTAGTGCTAGTTGTATATAATGTCATAGCGGAGTTATTGTAAAAAAACTCGGGCAAAACAACCTGAAAACATTAGTAAGTGTTACTAATAATATTTTTTTTATTGCTAGTGGGGTGGGACTAATTCCCTTGTACTGCGGCCACTTCTGGCCTATTGTACCAGCCAAAATGATAGGTGAGGGTGATTGTGGAGCAATTGGTGGAAGGAAGATTGGCAGAGGAAACCGAGGTACTCGGAGAAAACCTGCCCCATCGCCACTTTGTCCACCACAAATCCCACTTGACCAGACCCGGGATCGAACCCGGACCGCAGCTTGAGCTATGGCGCGGTCTTACTAATAATATTAATACACAAAGAAGAAACAAAAGGAAGAGAGATGATGCTATTTTTAAGCCACTGAAGCTGAAAGAAACAGGAACTTGAAAAAACTGAACTATTATTTTGGACGCGCAGTGACGCCCTTGTAGTGGAAATTTTCTACCACAAAATACACAAGTCGAAAGGCTATCAATCTATCGATCTCCAAACGAAAACAGCCCTGTGATGTGAACTGCGAAAGACATCATTGACCGTATATTCTGTAGAAAACTAATGCGCATAGTGCATAATGCAATGCATTATACATATATTTTTAAAGGCTTGTCGATGATCATCGATGATTGTATCACGTGCCACATGTGATTATGTGGCTAATAAGGGCCAGAGCAAACTGGCGTAGCGTTAACACTCTAAACTTTATTAGCGATGTGCCCTGTTCGAATCCAACCCGGTACACCTGCTATCCTGAACGTTTTTCGCGGTTTTCTCAGTCCCTCCTGGAAAATGCCGGAGAAGTACCTCGTTTAGGCAAGCACCGCTTCCTTCCAAATTTTTTCTAATTCGCGCTAGCTGTTTGATAGTCAGATATTTGGCAATTTGTACGAATTTCTCTATTAAACTCAGATGACAGATTGATGCAAGTGACGTCACTTGTATCAGAGGAATGTAGATACAACAGGAGACTGGGGAGAGAGAGGAAACAGACGTGACTTCACTTGTATCAGAGGAACGTAGATACAACTTAACAGCAGACTGGGGAGAGAGAGGAAACAAATGTGACTTCACTTGTATCAGAGGAATGTAGATACAACTTAACAGCAGACTGGAGAGAGAGAGGAAACAAATGTAACTTCACTTGTATCAGATGACTGTAGATACAACTTAACAGCAGACTGGGGAGACAGAGGAAACAAATGTAACTTCACGCCTAAACACTTTTAAGTAAATTTGCAAAGCTATAATCCTTATGATAATGGTGGAGCTATGTAGATGCCTGTAATTTGCAGAACTGCGAATTTTAAAATATTTTAAATATTCCTTGCTGCTTTCCTGTGAAGGGCAGATGTCTGCGTGTCCTGTACATCCTGAGTGTGATAAGCAGAAATACTGAAGCTGGATGAGATTCAGGAGAATTCAGATTAATATAGGCAGCACAACACAGCAGTAGAAAGGGAATGATAAATAAGACAAATGAGAACCCATTAATATGTGGTGAAATATGTTTCAAGCCAAAGACAGCAGTAAATTGTACCATCTGGGATTAGACATGTGGGGAGACAGATAAGAAGTGCACACAAAATATTAGTGGGAAACCCTGGAGTAAAGATATCGCTAAGAAAAATGAAACCAATACAGGGAGATAATATTAAAATGGATCTCACAGACATATGATATACTTGTGTGGACTGGTTTCATATGGATCCGGATAGAGTGGGCACTTGTAAGCCTGGTAATGAATCATCGGTCGCTTAGAAGGGGTGGAATTTCATGAACAGCTGAACACCTAGGAGAAATAAGGAGAAATTCCTTGAAAGAAGAGACAAGCAAAAAACTATACATAGATGGAAAGACAACATGAAAATAGGCTTGAGAGGCATGATATACGTGTGTACTGCAGTCATCTGGCTCTGGATAGGGACCAGTGGCGGGCTCCTGTGAACATGGCAATGAACTTCTTGAATCATGGGAATTTCTTGTGTGGCTGAGCAACTACTGACCTCTCAAGGACTCGGCAGCTAGCAGTAACTGGACGTGTGGCTGAAGTGGGACGGAAGACGCTGAAAGCAAGGCCACAGATAAAAGTGAACTAATGACTGATGTATGGGCTTGAAGGATGAAGGCCCTTGTGTGGATCTGCAGTGCCAGTAAGAGGCCACATTCTGGATAGGATGGCGAGGAGATGTGTTGGATGCTGTCATGGCCGATTCAAATTGTGTCAGTCTTGCAAACCCTTCTAAACGGCAACTGCAATTAATTCTATTAACATCAATGCTAAATGTTAAGGCCTAGGTACCTCTTGTCCAAATGTCAGCTATCAATATTAATTAACAATAATTTGCAATTAAATAGTAATATGAAATAATCACATTAAGTGGTGTTGCAATGTTGTGCCTGTATCACACTGTTCAAGCAGCAACTATATATATTAAAATAAGTAGTCTCAGACTTCTACAGATCTTTCAATTATACTAGTAAAGAGTAAAGTAAAGGTATCCCTGTAAGAGGCCATGAAGGCCTGTGAAGGTTGTGAGACGTTGAGGGTCCCACATTTTCTAGACAATCGGCTAAAAGATGGCGGTAAGGTTCTCAGCCTTATGCGCTGGCCGCTCTTTACTTCACAGGAAAACTAATTAATTCCTGGTACTCATTTCTGTTAGAGGGTGAGTCGACCCCAAGGCCATACTGCGGCTGGGAGGATTAGGTCAACTGAAAAAACCCAATGACCTCTTCGGGACTTGAACTTGCAACCTTCCGGCTTGTAGCATAGTGCCTTAGAAACAATAATTGTAGTTAAAGACTAATTATAAATAATGCCATAATTAAACACACCATAAAACCGGTGATGGAACTACACCTCCACTCCCCCATACGTCAATCCCATTAATTACTAAAACCAGTAATAAAATCCACACCTAAAATTTATGTAGGCACATTCAAGTGACTTATGTGGTCGCACCATAGTGCAAGCGGTTAGTGGCTGACTTCCACCCGCAGCAGTCCAGGTCTGGTCAAGTGGTATTGTGGTGGGTTTTCTCTGAGTATTTTGATTTCCCCTGCCAATATTCATTTCACCAAATTCTCCATCATATTCACCCAGGGCAAGCTACAATAGGCCAATCAGTGGCCACCGTGCAGAGTGGACCCAGTTGGACTCCACACCCCACTAAACAAATTTAATTTTTTCATGTGACTTAACAGCTACTTTGGAGTGGGAAAACAAGTCAAGACCTAATATGATGCTCAAGCCTGAACTGACAGATATTCTGTGTGTATCCTGCATAAATTCCATTCAGTGTAGCAAATTCACAAAGTATGCACGTTCCCCATGAAGTACAAGTGCCCTTACCTGGACGATGTGTGAGTGAGGGTAATTGCAAAATTATGGAGCAGCAATTGTGGCACCTACTCAGACAGACCAACACCTCCTCTCATTGAGGAGGAGAGCATATTTCCAAACACATGAATGGTCTTGCAAAGAACAAAACTTCGACCATATGTCCTGATGGCACCTGAAACCAAGAATGACTTTGCTGGTGAAAACCAGCAGCAGTTTAGTGGATTATACTGAACTAATAACTTAATGGACTGGACAGCCAAGGGTTCGAATTTTGAGTCCAGTTAGGGGCATGATTTTTCTCATTTCTACATTGNAAGGTAAAGTTATCCATATGCTTAAGTAATTAAGCACCATGAAGAAAGCAGTCTTCTGGGATTTGGCACCGTGTATATGTGGTGTTAACCGACGTTTCGGAGGAACGTATCGCCTCCATCTTCAGGGTAGAAGAAAAAGTATAAGAAATCTGCTTGCAGATTTCTTATACTTTTTCTTCTACCCTGAAGATGGAGGCGATACGTTCCTCCGAAACGTCGGTTAACACCACATATACACGGTGCCAAATCCCAGAAGACTGCTTTCTTCATGGTGCTTAATTACTTAAGCATATGGATAACTTTACCTTTTCCCTTATCTTACTTGAAGGATGAATGCCATTCAACCCCACAGTGTTAAGGAGGAAGAACTGTTCTCTGCTGTTAGCATATGACATGACATGAAAACAGTTGGAGCACAGTGACAGTGAAATGGACACAACCCCCACATCCTTTTGTTCCACATGGTTTATACAAGTAATATCTGTGCCAAAAGCAGATGTGAGCTGATTAAATGCTGCGTCCCAGCAAGTCTGACCCTGTACTGTGTCCACATTATCTCAATATTCTATTAATTATCAACATACAGCATGATGACATACAGGTACACACATGGCACAACCAGACTTCATTATCATCCAATTCAACAATGAACATTAGAGGCATGAAACAATTTGATGATGTGACGAGTATATTCGTGCAGTGGTTGCTCTCTATACTCAGATTCAAACGCTCCAGTTGATCGCTGGGGGGACACCAGCTGTACTGAATGACTCTTTCCGGGTTATTCTTTAGTTGCTGTAGGGAAAAATGTCACAGCTGCTTTGTTTAAAATCGTTCCAAGTTCACCACTTATCAAGCATTATTCCAACCGATGCTATATAGCCTAAAATACTAAGAGCATCATAAAATAAACCCTAAATAACACACGCTTGCCAGAACACTCATACACTTGTAGGATACCTGTACATTCTAAAGGTTTCTGGAATCGCTGGATTTTTGGACTTTGTCCATTGTCCTGCTAGAACGAGTTCTTTCTTATGGACCCAGCAAAGTAGTTCTCCCCCCCCCCTCCATCAAGAGAGGACCACAACAGACCCACTTCCTGAAATGGTGCATTCTCTTGTTTTTTGAACACCAGGCAATGAACACAACCCCAAAACCCAGCAAGTGATTCTGAGTGATATACAATACAAATTTTAAATTCTGAATTTTGGTGAATGAAGCGTAAGTCAGAAACATTTTTTTCTTCTCCTTCAGTTAAGGTACAGGCTTCTACGCCACATTCAGAGTCTCACTGTTATTCTGCCCATCTTCTTTCTCATTCACATTTCTTATTCACCGAGGTCTGTACTGTTTGATGAACTGACTGGCTGGATGCGAGTCACTACCCTCAAATATATACTGTACTACCCCAATGTATATAACAGGAAAACCCAGACTTACTGACCATCGGAGACACATTTGGAGTGCTTCAGCAGGATGGGGTCAACAACAAATTCCAGTTCCAGACAATCTAGAAATTCTAATGCCAAATATTAACCAATTTCACACAGCTGCACCTTTCCAGAGAAGCTACTGTTTGCTCAGCTACTCAATGAATTACCAACATGTTATGGAATGCAAGGGTCAATTACATTTCACAGCCAAATAGCCCCTATCCTGAGCCAGATGATTTCACTCCATATTCTCTTCTTTAAGCATACAGAATACACAGCATCAGCCTACCTTCACACTTTTCTGAGGACAACTGCAACTTGCAAATCCATTCGCATGCTACCCACTACTTTATATGGCAAAGACACACAAAGTGGAACACAAATTCCAGGACCATGGAGCAGGATCCGTTCTGGTGATGCAGTGACAGCTAACGTGTGATGACATGTGAGGAAGAGCTCTGCTGATGCAAAGTTATTGAGCGATGAATGTATGGTACATCTTATGCAAAATGAAGCAAGCGCTCCTTGGCAAGAAAACTGTCAGTAATCAGAGATCACTTGCTCAGAGTGACCAAGAATTAGCTTCAGTTACGATGCAGTTCGTTTAGGCAGTGAAGAAAACGGGTATGGAGGGAGGGGCATAACTGCACTGAATTTAAGTACAATTAAAAGCTATTCCTCTTGTGTCATTCCACTACATGAAACCTCTGAATTCCAATTAATAATATTAATGACACTGCCTAATTTTATTAAAGAATTATATAATTACACTGAAACTTACTTTACGATTTTCAGTTGACTCTTTCCTGCTAAAGCAAAGTAACCTAAAGCAAAAAAGGATTGCCTCAGTGCCAAACCACTTTCGTTTTTGATCTCATGACAGACCGCTCAGTTTCTCTGCTGATATTCACAATGAAAAGATGTAAGCAAGTCTTTCTTGATCCTTTCAACTAAATTCTCTGTACTGCTTTATTTCTCCATAAGCAGAATCAACCCACCTTTATTTAACTTTCTTTTTGTAATTAATATACCAAGTATCCTGCAAACAGATATCTCGTCTGCACTGTCCAATATAGCATAGTTTGTATTCATCTAACCAATGCATAACAGTTATCTCAATATACTCAATCCAAGCAATATATCAATCTGTAACTAAGTCATCAATGAATTTACTCACATGTAATGGCAGGAGAGCACAGAAAATGTACAGCAAAAAGCATACGATGCTGCTGAATTATATGTATAAGCTATCGATCTGTTTTAGTGACTACACTCTACTAATCATTAGCTTCCAGTGCTGAAGTAACATCATAACTGTAGGAGAATGTCATGTTTCCACTCAACAAGACAGGGTATTGTGCATATTCAGCAATCAGAATCCAGTGGAACTCATCTGCATAGACGTTTTGTACCATGGGACTCAGTTCATTTCCCGTCAGTTTGAAAGGTTTAGCAACAGTAATCAACTCCAATATATTGTAGCATTTTACAAAATTGAAGCATGCCACAAACAGCAAGACTGTCTTACTTACAACATGAGAAACTGTGGCATGCTACAAGTCACATGCTGTTCCTTTAGTCTAAACCCATCTCTACTGCTCTATGATTTACTGCACACATCAACATGTATGCGCTTATGTCTCTTCAGATGGTTCTGCTGCCTGAATGACTTCTTACATACATCACAGCAAAATGGCTTCTCCCCACTATGTATGCGCTGATGTGCCTTCAGATTACTCTGGACACTGAATGACTTTTTACATACATCACAGAAAAATGGCTTTTCCCCACTATGTATGCGCTGATGTTTCTTCAGATGGCTCTGATGACTGAATGACTTCTTACATACATCACAGCAAAATGGCTTCTCCCCACTATGTATGCGCTGATGTGCCTTCAGATTACTCTGGCCACTGAATGACTTACTACACACACCACAGCAAAACGGCCACTCCCCAGTATGTACGTGCTGATGTGCTCTAAGAATTACCTGCTGACTGAATGATTCACCACACTCATCACAGCAAAACGGCTTTTCCCCACTATGTATGCGCTGATGTTGCTTCAGATGACTCTGCCGACTGAATGACTTACTACACACACCACAGCAAAACGGCCGCTCCCCAGTATGTATGCGCTGATGCTGCTTCAGATTACCCTCCTGACTGAATGACTTACTACACACACCACAGCAAAACGGCTTTTCCCCACTATGTATGCGCTGATGTCTCTTCAGACTCTTCTGATCAGTGAATGACTTTTTACATACATCACAACAAAACAGCTTCTTCCCAGTATGTATGCGCTGATGGTTCTTCAGATGGTTTTGCTGACTGAATGACTTACTACACACACCAGAGCAAAACGGCCGCTCCCCAGTATGTATGCGCTGATGTGCTCTCAGAATTACCTGCTGACTGAATGATTCACCACACTCATCACAGGAATATTGTCGATCCTCACCATGTACGGGTTGAAGTTCATTCAAATTACCCTGGAAAATGAGAGTAAATAACATGAAAAATCCTTTTTTTTTTATTTGTTTCATTCTGGTTCGTCACGCTAACAATATTACAATAGATAAAATATTTCCATCCAGTGTGACTGTTGAAGTTTTTACTACTTCAATTCTTAACACCCTTACATATTTCGGTCGTTATTGACCATCATCAGAGGGATACTGACACTGCTTGCAAACCACTATTACAACGGGTGTTCTGAATGTTACAATATATACACATACAATGTTTGTAATGCAAAATAGATACAAAATCCAAAGTTTTCATAACTACAGCGGCTGTCTTGGTATATTAAAATTTTTAAAACTTTTGTCATTTTAGTTAGAATTCAACTTCTTTATTACAACCGTCACAACACAACTAATATCAAGATCAGTGCCTAGTTTCAGCTCTGCTACATGTTTCGGCCATTAATAGCCATCATCAGGCAAATACATGGTTAACATATATACACCACTGAACTGCAGTACTGGTAAAAGTGGATACAATATATTAATTATATAAAATACTTGACGTAAAAATACAATAAGACAGAAGTTATAGTATAAAACAAGAATAAAATTCTTTGATTGAAGTTTTACATCATCAAGTCAGTCATTGGTTTTGTAATTTTGTTGCATTCCCACGGAAAAATAAGAAATTCTATATTTTCTCTATATAAAATTCTATTGGAGGCTTGTGATGTAGATGTATTAAATTAATGTAAATTATTTAGTTGGTGCCTCATCTTACAAAGTATTGTCCGTTCTGTACGGAATGTAAACAATGACTCGTGTGATATATGTACAGGCTGCTCCTTGTGTTGATGGTGTCACTATGCTGTAGCAGTTTGGTCTAGACTACTTGCTTGGGGCGTATCTGTATACACGTATGTGTATGGGCTGCTCCCTGTGTTGATGGTGTCGCTATGCTGTAGCGGTTTGGTCTAGACTACGTGCTTGGGGGCTATCTGTATATATGGGTATGTTTGTGTAGAGTCCACTGGTATGAGGTAGGGGGGAGGATACTATGAGTGGCTGAAGAGATACGGAAAGGGTGGGGTTATTTGGTGTGTGTGTTTTTACTAGATTATGTATTTCTGTAAATGTATCGTTCATCTGCAGACCTTTCTTCATTATGTCTCATACACAGGGTGACTCACGAAGTTTTACCCCGGCTTATGGTACATATTCCTGGGGTTATTTCCCGCAAAAATTTCCTTATAAACTTGTGGTCGATTTTCAATAATTACGGAGTAACAATAGGTTTTCGAAACACATCACTGTGAATGCAGTGCTATGCTTCCCGCCTGGGTGACCATGCGTTCCTGTCAGCTGTGTCAGCAGATAAGGCAGACCAGCTGGAGTGTTGTGCATAGGTAGGCAGAGCGATCCAGTAGTAAACAGGACGTTGTGTTGGTGACTGTGCGAAGTTAAGATGCCATACACATTTTCCACTGAGGAATACGCCGATATGGCGTTCATTTTTGGTGTATGTGATGGAAATTCAAGAGCCGCTGCTGCCGAATATCACCGGTGTTGTCCTAATTGCAGGATTCCAAATCCTAAATCCATTAGCAGTACATTCAACACATTAAGACAAACTGGTTCTCTCCCCAGCGTTCATATACAATATGAACTAAATCCTCAACATGAATTGTGCGAAGAAGAAAACATTCTCGATGCTGTAGAGCAGAGTCCGCGTGCCAGTACAAGACGTCTAGCTCGGCGGTTCGGTGTTTCTCAGTCCATGGCCTGGAAGACTCTTCATGAGAACGGGCTGCATCCTTATCATTTACAGCAAGTACAACACCTACAACCAGGAGACCGTGCTCTTTGTCTGCAGTTCTGCAACTGATTAAATGGAAATCAGCAGCTGTACCGCTGATAATGTTCTGCAATGAGGCACAGTTTACATGGGATGGGGTCAACAACAGTCACAACTTACATGTTTGGGCAGACAATAATCCCTGTGCCACGATAGAATCGAATTTCCAACACCGATTCAATGTCAATGTCTGGTGTGGTGTTATGTATGATCAGCTAATCGGGCTGTTCATTTTTCCTGGCCGCTTAACTGGTGAGATTTACCTCCACTTCTTAGAAGAAGAATTACCAGTTACTTGAAGATGTTCCTCTGGCAACAAGATGCCGGATGTACTTTCAGCATGACAGGACGCCTCCTCACTTCTCCCATGCAGTAGCAGCTCACTTGGATCGGCATTTCCCACAGCGGTGGATTGGTCATGGAGGCTGTAATGGCTGGCCTCCCAGGTCGCCAGATCTAATGCCATTCGATTATTGCATTTGGGGCTGGATGAAGGACATTGTGTACCAGGTAAAGGTACAAACATGTGAAGCGTTGCTTGAACGTATTCTGGACGCAGCGATGACAATAAGGAACAAACATGTGGAACTGCAAAATGCTACAAGCTCGGTTCATATGCGTGTGACGCGTTGTGTTGACACGCAGGGAAACATTTTTGAAAATCTTATGTAAATCCAGTCATCTTCTAAAGAACTACAGTTTAAAGGAAACAGATTGATAGAAGGGTGTGATATGCAACCATTGGTATGTTTACAGAATGGGATGCTGAAAATAATGTAATTTTGTAACATAAAATAGATTAAAAATGTTGCACAATGCAAAATTAAGAAACTGAAAAAAAAAAATTGGTTTTAGAATGCTTCTTTCCTAATTCGAAGAAAAAAAGATTTTTCACCAGTTTTCAAATTACTGTCTGTCTTTAATTATGAGTTGGATACCATTAGTATATTAACACTTTTTGTTCCAAATTACCTCAGGAATGCCCTCCCTACATGGGGGTAAAACTTCGTGAATCACCCTGTATATAACATCTTTCTAATGTGTTGAGTTTGGGTCCTTCCTTTATATATAATACTTTCATGGTCTACTCCATTGTGCCAAATGTACATCCAGCTTCCAAATGTACTGTGTGAATATAAATATAAATCCTATCAGGACTAATAAACAACATTCTAAATTCAGTTTTGCAGTTGGTTTCTGCAGTGTATCACTGAAAATGAGATTGATCCACAATTGACATTCTTTTCTACTAAAGCATGGCTCCACTTGCAGGGATACATAAATATGAAAAATAATCATTACTGGAGTTCACTAAATCCACATCCAACCCAGGAAGTATGGCTAGATCCAGTGAAAGCTGGAGTCTGGCATGCTGTAACAGCAACAAGGAATGCTCTACCTGCATTTTTTAACAGAACAATTAACTGTGAAAGATATGTAAGGGTCATTCTCAGACATTTCTTTCGAGAGTTACAAAAGCAGCAAGACTCAGCTACTGCCTACATTTCATGTACGTCTATGCAGGCTTTGTCTGCTTTCTTTGGAGACAGAAATATCAGCACTGGTATTTGGCAGGCACATTCCCCCGACCTTAATTCTTATATTTTCTTCTGTCGTTCTTTGCAGGACAAAGTTTAAAACAGTAAACCCCATGAGGAAGAACTAAAAAAAATATTCATATGGAAATTCCAAAAATTCCGGCACAACAGCTTTAAGGGTTAATCAGAACCCGTTCTGCTGTTGCAAGGAATGTCTACATGTAGGGGGACAGCATTTTCAACAACTTCTGTTACCTGTGAATTGCATACTTCATTCCAAATGTTACTGGCCACATGCATACTGATTCATTGGCAAAATATGTATGCACCTTGCAACCAGTGGTGCATCAGTCATTGTGAACTGGCCAAGAAAACAATATTATATTTAAGCATCCTGTTACACTTACACAATATATGAGACAAACTCCATCTTAAGTGCAACAATTTAATTGTAGTTCTTCCTTCTTTCCTTCCTCCACACTACATGTTTTGGCCCCAAATGGCCATCATCAGGTGTATACTCTTACGTAGCTGCTACACTGCCCGTAGTTTAAAATTTAAAACACCAGTCTTTTCAATTGTATGTATGTATGTATAAAATCTTTGTTAACCTACACATGTCAATTTGATTTCCACTTTTTAAAACTTCAATTTCAAATTAAAATGTCTTTAAATTTTCCGTTCTTCTCCAAATTTTAAAAATTAAAATTTCTCGGGGTACTGGCCCTATGTCTATATTGCTGCAGCGGCCACTTCTTGTTCTATCGCCGTTCAGGTATTGTCTGTAATATGCAAATATTCGTATTACTATCTTATGTTATGTTACGTTATTCTTATATGTTTATACTGTTATTTGTACTTACTCTGTGTAGAAATTTTAATTTTTAAAATTTGGAGAAGAACGGAAAATTTAAAGACATTTTAATTTGAAATTGAAGTTTTAAAAAGTGGAAATCAAATTGACATGTGTAGGTTAACAAAGATTTTATACATACATACAATTGAAAAGACTGGTGTTTTAAATTTTAAACTACGGGCAGTGTAGCAGCTACGTAAGAATATACACCTGACGATGGCCATTTAGGGCCGAAACACGTAGTGTGGAGGAAGGAAAAATTACAATTAAATTGTTGCGCTTAAGACAGAGTTTGTCTCATATATATGGCCAAGAAAAGTAAGAACCTCCGTCTATATGTAGATGTATAAATTCTCTTTGATGTTCATTAATAGCTTTATTTGTGTGTTTAATTACATCCATTGTAGATTCCACTTCACCAGCATTGCATCTATATTTTAGGATGTGTTGCCAATGCCAATTCTTCACTATTGCTTTCTACACCTTTTACACATTCTCTGTATCTAGTGTTTAGTGACCTTTCTGTCGAACAGAAAACAACAAAAAAATCTGTCATGATAACCAATCACCTGGCAGCAGGTACAGAGGCAACTCCTTCAGTGTCAGGTATATTAAATTTACTTCAAACAAAAGGGTAACAAACAGCATGTGTCTATACTACGTCACACACTGTCACAAATCTTTATTAGAGATCATTAGTTATCCTGTTACAAATCCTCAACATAATGACAGCTCTACGTTATTACATGGATACAGACTGCATCGGAGACAGAAAACAATTAAATGATAAACTTCAGTATTTATAGATCCTGGGAACCCTATCATGTAGCACCAAAGCACTGCTTAGTGAATTGGAGAGACAAGAAAAATGTGAAGGATTGTTCCTGCTATGGAATTTACCACAAACAGTCAGTTTACATAAGATCTATTTACATGCATATTAGATTTGTTTAACGAAAATGGGAGTGGTACATCACATGCACTATTCAAGGTACTACAGTCAGGGGAAAGGGGGGGGGGACTTTCAAAATCTAGTCAGCAGCACAGTGGAGTTGTTTCATGTTCACAGAGAAGACAAGCAGCATTTCTGCACATTTCTGTCATCTGCCTAACACAGCACATGCAGCTCACCTCAGGTTCGGCCTTTATTTCCGGAAATGTTATTAGGACAGGATCCTTTTCCTCTTCTGCATCTGAGACTGCCTCAGATTTTACATTCATGGCCTGATTTGCATCATGAGGTGTTGGGTATGTCTCACCATATGGACCCACTGAAGCGTTCTCCATATTTGTAGAGTTCTGTAAAAACCATCACATCCTTCTCAGAAATGGATGCACAACACCACACATTAACCAGCATATGCTCTCCTTGCTATGGCTGTTCCTCATCATATTTAACTCACAAGAGCTGTTCTGTATAGATGCTCTTCTCTACAGCTATCATGATCACTAGAAAGTACTCGGTTCATAGCTCAGTGACCTTCCTGAGAAACTATCAGTCACTGCAGCAGTACAGAAAACATCTGCTTTTTTGGTTCCTAAAAACATAATAATGAAGAGCTCCACAACTTGGAACCTTCGTTCACCAAGCATAATTATATGATTAAGTCGAGGAGGATGAAATGGGCAGATCATGGATTCATATGGCTCAGGATAGGGACTTGTGACCAGTTTTTGCGAAAATGGGAGTGGTAGATCACATGCAACATTCAAGGTACTACAGTCAGGGGAAGGGGGGGGGGACTTTCAAAACCTAGTCAGCAGCAGAGCAGAGTTGTTTCATGTTCACAGAGAAGACAAGCAGCATTTCTGCACATTTGTGTCATCTGCCTAACACAGCACATGCAGCTCACCTCAGGTTCAGCCTTTATTTCCGGAAATGTTATTAGGACAGGATCCTTTTCCTCTTCTGCATCTGAGGCTGCCTCAGATTTTACAGTCATGGCCTGATTTGCATCATGGGGTGTTGGGTATGTCTCACCATATGGACCCACTGAAGCGTTCTCCATATTTGTAGAGTTCTGTAAAAACCATCACATCCTTCTCAGAAATGGATGCACAACACCACACATTAACCAGCATATGCTCTCCTTGCTATGGCTGTTCCTCATCATATTTAACTCACAAGAGCTGTTCTGTATAGATGCTCTTCTCTACAGCTATCATGATCACTAGAAAGTACTCGGTTCATAGCTCAGTGACCTTCCTGAGAAACTATCAGTCACTGCAGCAGTACAGAAAACATCTGCTTTTTTGGTTCCTAAAAACATAATAATGAAGAGCTCCACAACTTGGAACCTTCGTTCACCAAGCATAATTATATGATTAAGTCGAGGAGGATGAAATGGGCAGATCATGGATTCATATGGCTCAGGATAGGGACTTGTGACCAGTTTTTGCGAAAATGGGAGTGGTAGATCACATGCAACATTCAAGGTACTACAGTCAGGGGAAGGGGGGGGGGACTTTCAAAACCTAGTCAGCAGCAGAGCAGAGTTGTTTCATGTTCACAGAGAAGACAAGCAGCATTTCTGCACATTTGTGTCATCTGCCTAACACAGCACATGCAGCTCACCTCAGGTTCAGCCTTTATTTCCGGAAATGTTATTAGGACAGGATCCTTTTCCTCTTCTGCATCTGAGACTGCCTCAGCCTTTACACTCATGGCCTGAGTTGCATCATGAGGTGTTGGGTATGTCTCACCATATGGACCCACTGAAGCGTTCTCCAATTTTGCTGAGTTCTGTAACAACCGTCACATCCTTCTCAGAAATAGATGCACAACACCACACATTAACTAGCATATGCTCTCCTTGCTATGGCTGTTCCTCATCATATTTAACTCAGAAGAGCTGTTCTGTATAGATGCTCTTCTCTACAGCTATCAGAGCACTAGAAAGTACTCGGTTCATAGCTCAGTGACCTTCCTGAGAAACTATCGGTCACTGCAGCAGTACAGAAAATATCTGCTGTTTTGGTTCCCAAAAACATAATAATGAAGAGCTCCACAACTTGTAACCTTCGTTCACCAAGCATAATTATATGATTAAGTCAAGGAGGATGAAATGGGCAGATCATGGATTCATATGGCTCAGGATAGGGACTTGTGACAGGTTTTGCGAACATGTCAATAAACTTCCAGGTTCTATACAATGTTGGAAAATTCTTCAGTGGCCAAGCAACTGGTGGCTTCTCAAGGACTCACTCAGCTCCATGGCGTTAGTTATAGTACCTAAGGGCTCATTACTGTGATTACACATGCTCATCATGGCTCTGTATCCTAAGGCAAACAAATTCTTCCAAATTATTTCTTTAAAATCTATCTTAATAGCATCTCTCCATTTGCACTTAGGTCTCCCAAATGGTCTGCTTCTCTCAGGTTTTCCGTGCAAAACTTTGTATGCATTTCTCACTGTTGCATGTGCACTACATGACTTACCCACATCACTCCCCTTGAACTCATTGCTCTCCTACATAATATCCCAAATTGTCATCACCCAAGTGTAAGAAACTTTCCACATGGATTATGCAAACAAACAGAAGTGCGTCATAAACTATTTACTTTCTTTGGCCAAGAGAACTGAAATATAACAATAAAATTCTTATCTGTGCACACAAGCACAAAACGCTCACAATCCTTACGCTTATATCGGAAACTTATCAGTTTTTCAACTGGAAAACACACGTTAAATTAATGTTACCCAGATTGGGCAAGGCATGCTTCGCATTAAGAAATATGAAGTTGGAAACTAATACTGAAACACTTAGGATGATATATCACGCATATTTTCATTCAGTCATGAGCTTTGGGATAGTTTCCTGGGGTAATTCACCAGATACTAAAAAGATTTTTCTCTTACAGAAGAGAACTGTCACGGTGATGACAGGATCGAAACAAAGAGATACATGCAGGCCGGTATTAAAAAAACTAAACATATTAACATTGGTCTCCAAATATATCGTGACGTGGATGGCACAACGGGAAGTGGGGGTCACGTAAACTCTGTGTTTCCTCGAGTGATGTCACATACCCCCACTCCTTCCACCAGGACGCAATGTTCAGTAAACACCCCCCCGCGCCCACGGTGACGTTGCAAAGGAGCGGCTGCACCAGGCAACCATTGCTGCAGTGACATAACAAGGGATGCCGCAGTTGCCACGCCACAGTAAACTCTCAATAGCGTTGCCAGCAACACCTGTAAACATGTCGACTAGGCAACAAGGAAGTGAGGCGTTTTCCCATTGTCTGCCTGGGGGTTTATCAGAGAACTACACTGCCTAAGGAGTCTGAGTCCCTTGGTACTCGCGACCATATTTTTCTGAGAGAGTAAAATATGGTCGTGAGTCCCGAGTAAGACTGCGCTGGCAATGGCCAGCAGCATATACAAAAGACAGACCTGTCCTCTTGTCAGAGAAGGTGCCCCACAGAAACAAGACCGTGTCAAATGGTAATAATTAATATCTGGTCATGAGCCCCAAATGGGGCTCGACACCAAGACTTACTGACTGACTGACCATCAGTCACAATGTGACTTTGACTTAAGGAGTCAGTTAAATTGTAGCAGCCACCGAGGTCAGTTGGAATATAGCAGCAGTCGCAGAAAGAAGAACCAGACGCGTGGTTAGAAGATTTTATAGTGCGTAATAAGTGAGAAGTCAGCCAGTGAAGACTTATTGTGTGACTTGAGGATTTTGTGTGTGCCGTAGAACAGTTATATTGGGAGTGTGTAATTCACAGAGACTTGTATAGCTCTCGCATTATAAATACATGAAGACTACTGAAGAGATTATTGTGCAGGGTTGTAAAGTGTGTAAACCTGTAACAGTGTTATAAGTATTTGTAGTTACGATTTGTAGATTGTTAAATAAACCAATTAACAATCCGAACAGCGTCTTCAGTAGCAAAACACGTTACAATATATTATCTTTGATGATTTTTATGATAAGTAATCTTGAGTATTTTATTTTTAATGATGCAATCCATAATAAGACCACAAGACATAGAGGGAATCTACATGTATCACAGTCACATTTAGCAGTAAGGCAAAAAGGAGTCTATTATATGTGTGTTAAAATTTTCAACAGTTTGCCTCTCTATGTAAGAGATTTTGTACAAGACAGGAAACTTTTCCTAGGAAAACTAAAAGAAATATTAATCAATAATTCGTTTTATTCAGTTGATGAATCTTTGCTTTACTGTAAGGATTTATAGTCAAAAATATGTTTATTTAAGTATATTTCATTATATTACTGTTGACAGCCACAACTTGCTTATTGGCAACCACTATTTCTCTACTGACACTCCACCTGGAGTCATTATTGATTATTTTCACCTTCTTGAAAACATGCTTGACACCAATAGCTTGCGTGTTGTTTTATTAGGAGACTTCAATGTTCCTGGTTTTAACTGGGTGCATGGGTCACCTCTACCCAACTGTCACTACTACGCTAAACTTAAGGGGGATGCTATATACACCTCCGCACGTCTCCTTGGCCTTCGGCAGTATGCTGTAGCTGTTGACAACTATAACTTACTTGACTTAGTCTTCTCTAATCTCACAGATCTAAAGCCTGGTCCTTCTTACTCTGATTTGGTCAAGCCTGATCCATATCACCCTCCCTTAATTATTGATGTCCACCTTCCACATATTACCTATAATCCTGATTATAAGTTCAGCCATCGAAAATTCGCCGCCGGCAATTATATTCTGCTTTACAACACCCTATCTGCGTGTGATTGGTCAGGAGTATATAGAGCTACTTCCGCTGATGATGCAGTTGCCAGCCTGAA